TATTGTCATGTGATAGACTCAATCTTGCAAGAGTTGAATGATCGATTTCCAGAAACAACTACTGAGTTTTTTACTTGCATTTCATGTTTAAGTCCAAGAGATTCATTTGCAGCTTTTGATAAGGATAAATTGCTACGTTTTGCTCAGTTCTATCCTTTGGACTTCAGTAGTGAAGAACTTTTATTACTTAAGGTTGTATCGTTTTTTTTTTTTTTACTATTTTGGGTTGTATCGAAGTATATTTTCATATGTATACGATTTTGACGTTTTAGTTCATTTACATATATATTGAATAACTTTTAATATTATGTAACCAAATTTTAATAAACGATCGAACAATTACGATTGTCGACAGTCAACGATCGTCGATCAACGGTCAAACCACCCTAGCTGAACTTGAATCCTGGATTCGCCACTGATCATAACTATGGCACGATCCACCAACATTTCATGCCAAATAAGATTAGCCCTACGAATGGCTCGCTTATTGAACCCTTAATCTTAATTTTCTAAATTCTTGGTTCCTAACCGCTGCTTGTGGTTCTCTTTGTCTGAATCCTAGTCTTATTAATTATATGAAGGAGTCTCATGGCAAAGGAATAAACCAATGGAGAAATGACAGATGATATGATTGTAAAGACTTATTAAAGGGTTTCATTTTAAAAAGTCAACCTTATTAAAAAGGAGTAGTCTAAAGTTTTATAAATTGATCTATGTTTTCTTCTTTATTTGATGTGAAATTTTATTCCTTAATGTGTTCCTGCAAGATGGTGGCATGTTTGAGCAAACCAATCTTAAAATCTGTACGCTCAATTTTTTTAATCTTAATCAGACTGGTATTATTCATTGGAGTTTAATAAACTCTGTTACTATGTGAAGACTTACTGAACACAAGGATTGTGCTCTTTATAGGACTTAACTAAACACCTTACTGTATGAGCTGACGACGGCCAAGGACTATTTGTGCTCGAGAACAATTTTATTAAGATCAAAATCCTTATAAATTGGTCTATATTTTTATCTTATTTGATGTGGGATTTTATCATTTAACATCGATATAAATAGCCGATTTTCTTAGTAATAACATGCAAAAACAATTTCTTATCTTGAAAGGCCCCTTACAGTTACACCAAATTTCTTTGTGCCTTTGTCCATGAATTCATTGGTGAATGGGTTATAGAAAGAAATGAGATGTTGTGACACGACTTGTCCTGAATAACCTAATGGACCCAATATGTGATGTGCATTGATGGTAGATACCAGCTAAGTGCTCGATCTACCACCAAGGCAACTTTGGCTGTGAAAAATTGTTTAAAAAAAAATTGACAAAATTTCCTCTGAAATATGAATTAAAATCACCCGAACAATAATCAATTTTATCAAACCTGTACATATAATTTAAAATAGAGCGCACTACGCTTTAAATACAAACTATTCAAAATAAAGTGCACTGAAATGAAATTTACAATTCCATACAAGCCAGAAGATTCCACAATAAATACAAAAAAAAAAATACAGCGAGCCCATGATATGGATATATTTTCAAACAAAAGATGTATCTCAAAAATTAGAACTATATAAATTGAAAAGATGAGTCATACAACTAATGACAATGTGTGGCTCAACTCGATAGATCAACAGGTGACAACAAGCTCCTACGTTGCTCAACTCAGCTACTATCTGATAAGGAAAAGGGTGACAAAATATATGAGCTTGTAATTCAGTGATTGAATAATTTGTAATTAAGTATACATTTTCTATTTGTACCTAATTACTGTAAAGTTTCACTTACTCTATTTCAACTTTAAGAAATTCTGAAATTTGATAATAATTTCTAAAATTGAAATATGATAAAATCCTTTATTCTTTATTTTAAATAAACAACTACAAAGTATAATGAATATAAATAATTTGATATCCATGAAAATTTATAAAATATTGTTGTTATTTAATATTGTAAGTTGGAATCTTTATTCTGTGAACTGAATAAACTAAATTCAATAATCTTAAATTTAATAAAATGTAGTAATACTGAAAAATCACCACAAAAAGGTATCAAAAATATAACCTTACTCATGTATCGATTAATATCAATATACATGACAAAAGCTATTAAATTCTAAAATTCTAAAATTTTGAAATTCTAAAATTCTGTATTTCTGGTCATACGCTCCTAGAGTTGCCTTAAGGCTATAATCTAATCATACACTATGGATAACTATATGGGATCATACACTGTGGAAATACATTAGCACAAGTGCAGACTAGGATAAAAACAGTTGAGTACTTTATGGTAGTTTTAAAATAACTTTAGTTATGCTGTAATATTTAATATTGATATAATGAGCCGATGAAATGATTTAACTAAACTAAATTTAACTTTGAGAAGAATTGTTTATTCTAAAAAAAAAAGTAACTTTATTCTTAAAATCATAGTTTCTAAATCAATCGTCTAAAATAAATAACTTTTACAGCTTATATGATTTGCTATAAGAAATATAATAAACAATTATTTTATATAAGCTTGAGAACTAATATAATTTAAATAAGTGCTTATTTCTAAAAAGTAGATATCCACTCGCTCAATACAAGTTATAGGTTAGGACGATTGATATGTTTTTTCAATATATTCTTCACCAATAACCAATTTAACCACTACCAAATCAAGAAACCTTTAATAAGTAATGATATAATACGTAAATCAAATTTCTCAATACTTGAGTAAATTTTTCAAATTTTCTTTAATCAATTGGAGATAATTCTACTTTCTAAGACCTTAACAACTATGTACTATATCCAAAATTACCTCAATCTCAACCATAAAAATAATTACACTTTCCAATATAGTGAAAACTAGTAATCATAATTTAACTAATTTATTTTTCATCTTGTTCCTTAAATTCACACTTTGAAGTGAGTGTTTCCTCCATACTCTCATTTTTCTAAGCTATATTTTCTCAAAACCCAATTAAAAATTTCAGGGTTTGCTCAGTAATGGTATTTCTTACCTTGATGTAAATATCATTCACTACTCAAAAACATTGCCTTGAAATCATGCTATTTCCTTCAATTTGAAATTTAAATCAACCATTTAGAATTCTAGAAATTCAACATAAATTATTTCTTTATCACTTGAAGAAAATAGATAAATTGAATTCAAGCTTGAAGAAATCAACACATCTACTTCTTCCTTTTTTTTCACCTTTTCTTTCTTCTTTTCTCTCTTTTCCAACTGCTTTCCTCTCGGCTCCTCAACTTTCTCTGTGTGTCTGTAAATGAAAAGTGGGATAAGTGATGTTTAGTGGAGCACTAAGCAATAATTTGCAACGGAAGTTCCTCCTTATACAATATATATAAAATCTAGTCATTAACTTTTCATACTTGTAAACTAAATCCTCAAATTTAAATGATGTCCATCTTAAACCCTCAAATATTGTAAATTGTAAAATAAAATCCAATAAAATAATTTACTCAATTCAAGTCTTTATTAGACTTTGACTTTGATGAGTCAACTTTTGATTTTTTACTAAAGGAAATGGGTTATGACATGTTGTATAGCTCAATGAAAAGTAAAATCTTGTTTTTTATATTGTCTAATACAGTTCATTATCGCATACATGTAGTTGGGGAATTTGCCCCAGCTTGCTTTAAGAGAATTTTTGTGAAACCTTCGAAAGAAAGTAAAGAAACATCTCATCATCACTCTCGAGGGTCTTGATTCAAGTGGATTGTGACTCTAGGACTATCATTTGGATCCCTACGTTGGTGCTCTGTATACTATGACCTCTTGAGAAATGTTCAGAGTACGGATCTTTTGCAAGATGCCTCCAGCTTCAGAATTTGAATTCCACAAGGATTAGGATTCTTGCATGGTTCAAAGGTGCTTTCATTTTCCAAGAATCAAGAGTTCACGGTCCCGAAAATATGAAACATTTCAATTTTAGTTGTGCTACTCAAATGTGTGAAGCAGACTATACCCTTTTTTGGGTGGTCCAACACAACTAGTAATTATCTGTCAAATTAGGTTTGATGATACCACTTGACCTGAGTATGTGTGGCACACAGTACCCCACGCCAAGCATAGTCCCCCAGCTAGTCACCCACAAGGCCAATGAGCTTGACATAGGATCACACGGAATTTTGGGTACGTATATTGTTGAGCCACCTAAGTAGGAATAATCCTCTATGTCCATGACTCACTCTCCCACCCTAATATGCTAATGCCCACTTAGTAGACTTTTGCCTCCACATCTATTGGTAAGCATGATCCTCCACATAGCCCAATGGACAGAATTTCCTCGTTGTCCGCACACTAGCATGTAGGACCATTTTGAATATCGCTATTGACATCAACCGTCATCCTATGCCCACCCCTGTTGTCCATGCAAAAATGAAAGTTGAGATTTTGAGTTTGAAGTGCCGACAATATTGTACTAAGAGCATTTTTAAATTATTAATATTATATAAAATATTTTTGTTTTTTACATCTAAAAGTGTATATATTAATTAAATAATGTGGGAAAAACAATAAATGAATGTTAGAAAGTGTAAAATAAAGAGTTTGTTAAATTCTTTAAATTTAAATATGCTTTCTATTATGACCAAACTCTCTGAAAATAAGAAATTTCTTTGAGATGCTCTAAGTAGTTGCTTCAGCATATACGCCCACGATCTTTCAAATGGACAGAGATGACGGGCTTTGGGTAAGTCTTACGCACCATTTACGGATCCATTCTATGGGCCTTGAGTTAATGGGCTGGACCTAATATAATTTAGCAATGTTCGTACATATCTTATTACTGGAGTGACAATTGAGATCAGTACTAACATGGAAGGTCCTTACAAAGTGGACCCATCTGGGCCCACATGAGAAACGACAACATAGTCACTTCTATATCTTATCTTTTTAATTGCCCAAGTTTTCCTTTAAACACACACAAACATGTTCTTTTTGTTTAAGGATCCAATTTGGGATTAGTCTAACTCGAAATGGGTCAAACTAAAGCAAAAGACATATATATTTGTTCTAGGAAGACTTATAAAATTGTTCTGTATATCAGAATCATGAATTCATTATACATCATGATATATTCCTACATCATCCTATGATGTTTGACAATAGAAAACAAGCTATGATTTTTTGTATTGTGTCTCCCCCATCTATACCTTGGTAGGTTTAGGAGTAATTTTGATTACAAGTCCAGGAAAAACATCATCTGGGTCATGTATATGAGGATTCTGCTCAACGATGAAGGGGTCCCCGCACTTGTCACTGATGCTGTGAAGAGTTTCTCCTTCTCGGACAACATATATTTCCTCGCATGGCCTGTCTTTGAGCTGGTTTCTTCCAACGTCGACCTCTAATTCAAAATCTGTGAGAGAGCTGTCTCCGATTGAACCTAATAACAAAAGGGCCAAAATAACTATGGCACAGTATGCATCTGCTATGTGAAGAGATGAAGAAGCCATATTATAAGAGAAATAGATGAGATGCTTTTAGTGTGAGCCCTTTATACACGAGGTTTATATATAGACACACATACGTGTGGACACTGCCACTGGGAGTTGAAGGGCGTGAGAAAATGGTAAAAGGTCGTGTGGAAGGTCTTCGAGCGTATTTGTTGGGGCACAAAGTTGGGTTGAAGTTTTCAACAATTTTTGGCGTGTCAATTTAGCCCCTTTTTTAGCCAGGGGAAAAAAAAAATCATTTTTAAACAATATTTTGATATCATTTCCATATATATTTTTTAATAAAATAATATTACATGGATATTCAAAACTTTTCCTTATTTTTTAATAACATGTTTTCTATTAATATACTATTCAAAAATTCATTCTCATAAAAAGAATGAAGATCAAACGAGGTCTTAGTCATGAAACTCTTTAGTGGGATTTGTGTTGCTCGTAAAAAAACTTTCTAAAAATGTTAAATTAATTTTCAAAAGAGCTTTCTCCTTGGTGAGGACTTCTAGAAGGAGACAAATTAGAAGAAACACTTATTTTTGGATCTCAAAAATCATGCCAAACAGAACCTAAATATATTTGATTAAGAGTAAAATACTAAGCCCATGTTTTGTAGGGATTAAAATTTAGATTTTAATTTAAACTAAAGTCAACAATTAATTTTAGCTACATATTTCATAGGACCCACAACTTTTTAACGTCATATTCCTTTAATTTTTTATCAAAATTTACTTAATATTTGATTTAATCTCAATCAAATAGGGGGTAAACAATCAAGTTAAAGATTTTTTTTTAAGATTTGAAATTTTTCGAAAACGTCTAGAAATGTTTCGTTTTCTTTGAAAAAATGCATTCTTCAACAGTGATTTGACATCATTTCAACCACACAATTTTCAATAAAATAATATTACACGTAAATCCAAAACTTTTCCTTATTTTTTAACCACACATTTCACATCAATACACTATTCAAAAATTCATTTTCATTCCAATAATATGGCTCAAACAAACAAACAAGGGCTTAATTGTTTTTTCAAATTCATTTTTTAAACATGTGGAATTCACAATTTTTTTATCAACTTTTATTAAGAATATTAATTTTAGCTAAATCAAATTTAAAAATTTATTCGGATTTCACGTGAGAGCCAATATAAAAACACGGAACATGTAAGAATTTTGAGTTTATGTCAGTTCAATTCAATTCAACGAGAGTGAAATTAAATCTAGTTATTTCTCAAAATTGAACTAATGAAATTGTTTGGGAACCTTCTAAGTTGACTTGCTTGCTTTAAATCCACTAAACCCATAGTTGGGGGTTGAAGATAATTGGTTTTGTAGGTGGTGGATGAGAAAATAACATAAATGTACCATTTTTTAAAGTTATTGACACTTGAGAGTTGACTCCCAAATGATGCTTTTAATTTCTTATAAAACTATTTTTTAAAAGGTCAACGTATGCTTGAATAATTATAATGTCTCATCGTTGAACCATTTTATTGACAAAGTTATAATAATTCAGATTGTATTTTATTTTATTTTTTATGACAAAGAACCTTCAACCGCCACCTTTTGGGTGCACACTGGATAAACCATCGAATTGACGTAATAGGCTAATAGCCTGCAAATTCAGTTTGGATTATCAAGCTTATAGGAGGTTGACCTTTTAAAACTAGAAAAAGTTATGAATTTGGAAATTAGTATATAATTAAAATGGTAAATATATATTTTATCTGGTAATGTAATTTTAATATAAATCTAATAATTTGGGGGAAAAAAGTACAGATTCTAATTTTCTCAATTTTAAAGGTTAACCAAACAGGTCCACATAATCCTTCTGTCTCAGGCCTTATTATTACATAACCAAATAGATCGGCCCACATTGCTACTTTGGACCTACGTGATCCGATGGCTCCGTTCGAGGGACAGGCTTTTTAATACAATGCATGGATTTTAATACTAACTTCATTAAATTATTTGATATACTTAATTAACTAGTTTTAAACAATAAATTAGGGATAATTGCAGCCGAGGCCCAAAATTTTTCAAAGTGGCAAACTTTTTCCTAACCTTTCAATTGTTGCACCCGTCACCCCAAATCTTTCGATCATAAAATCGAAAGCCTCGACGGACGGTTTCCATCCAATCTAGAGTTAGTTGATCCAAAAAATTAATTTTGTCCACATTTTAATCAATTTTAAAAAGGCAAAATAGTACTCTAATATTTTTTTCATAAAATAATTAAAAGCTTAAATAAAAAAACAAAAAAAGAAGAAGAAGAAGAAGAAGAAGAAAATAAAAAAGGAAAAACTTTCTTATTCACCCTCACCCTCACCCTCATCCCCACCCCTACCCAAAATCCCTCAACCCAAAACCAAAATTCGACAGTTCTTTCTTCGTCATCTGATAATACCTCATCAGTGGTGTTGGATTCCTGTAGCCCCAAGAGCTTAGCATCAAAATCATCGGATAGCTTATCGAATTTTTCGGCCCCTTTACCACGTTATATCGCTCCACCTCCATCCTAGGAGCCGAGGACATATATGTCATTTTTGCCTTCATCGTCTGGGGATGGGACCAATAATTCCTCACCTCAGAGCTTTGAGCATTTGGGTGTTAGAAGAAGGCCAAACCCATCTCGTCATCGGCCTTCACCACCACAAAGTCATGGGAATCAAAGTAACTACCAAGGCCACCATAGCT